GATGTCACCTGGCGCAGCCCATACCCCCAACACACCCCTGGTGATGCACTTGCCAAAACTGCAAATCTGAGGATTTCACAGTGTTTTGCCATGGCAATTAAAGTGAAATCATGGTGCTACAATTCAGTAGCGTGAAAGAAAGAGGTTGAGGGGGAGACTGAACTATTTAGGATCACAAAATACAATTTTTAAAAAATACAGATGTAGACTTCCAGCCACCTAAGTTTTCTTCCTTATCAAATGAAAGAACCAGTTTCTTCCAGATTATTCAAAGAGGAAAAAGAACAAACTCATCTCCCTTTCATGTTTACTTGCAAATTTTAGTTGTAGTGTTTTACTCTCATTCATTAATATTGCAAGCATTCAGTGGTAGTTGTGTTGACCATTTAGCAAATTCAAATAAAAATCCATCAGTGATACTTTGATTGGCCAATATATATATATTGTGCATTTTGCTTGGCCAATAAAGGTATCACTGATGGATTTTTATTAATATTGTGATTTTTTGAAAGTATGAAGTTCCTTCCCTCTTTCTTTATTGCTTCGTGGTTTTTTTTAACCTAAATAATTTAACAAGAGTGAAAATCCCCTTGGGAGTATGTCATCATAAACTTTCCTTCCACTTATATTAAATTACTATTCTGTGTAGATCTTTTTTCTTCTGTCATGAAAGTGCTTGCATCTTACATGGTGTATCTGAACAGACTTGTTTTTTGCCAGTCCTTGTGGTCCTTGAAAGGTGTCCAAGGCAGAAAACTGGGCACCAGACTGACCAAAGTTGTCAAAACCAAGGGTAAAGAAATGTTCAGAAGGAACAGTTAATAAAATGAGTACAGAAGACATGCTTAAAATCAATCTAGAAAAATCCACTTGGTAATTCAAATGCACAGAAATCTTGTAGCACCTCTGAGACTAGAAGCTGGCAACATGAACTTTCGTAGACTACTTCCTCAGAAGCACTTAAGTCCACAAAAACTCATGCTACCTTCTTTCTTTCAGTTAGGTGAGATGCAGACTGACACTTTAGGCTGGCCTGAGGGTGGAGTTGGGGCCAGGCGATCGCACGCCGGCAGCCCCGACTTGGTCTCGTCTCTGCCCTGATGCCATGCATCTGTCCGCACGGTGCGCAGCATCAGGGTGCCCTCTTGGCGCAGCATGCATACATGCTGCACCAAAGGGGTGCAAAAGAGCCGCCGTGGTGGCTCTAAGGGCGGCTTTTTGCCAGCCCCAAATGGAGCAGCATTTGCCTGCTCTTTTGGGGGCGGCAAAAAGGAGGATTGGGGCTGAGGTGTGTGGTTGCCACGGCTGTGATCTGCCGCTCCCAGGGGTGGACCAGAGCCGCCCCTTATGGACCGTCTGCATCGGCCCTTAGTCTCAGATCTCTCTACATATTGATTCTACAGACTAACACGGCTATATCTTTGAATTCTACCTTCTTGGTAATTCAAAGTAGATTTTGTTTCAATTTGGAAAGAAACTGAGTTGCTTTAAAAACAAAATCCTTTGGGAAGGACTAACTGATGGTTACCTGGCTCACTCCTGCCATCAGTCCTCCTCACCCATGCCATAGCAATAGCAATTACCTTTCTATACTGCTTATCAATGAACTACCACTTCATTGGCTTATAGCTGGGCAGCACACTTTGCGGCAACAACACTGTGTGATGGACAGGTTTGTGGCTGTATTATCATACCTTCCAACTGTCCCAATCTGGCAGGGAAAATCTTGATTTAATTCTCTGTCATGCTGCCTTCTAAACTGTTTTTAAAATGTCCCAGTTTCTGTTTCCTCTTCCCACTTTCTCCATTCTTTCTCAACTACCTTGAATTGCTATAAACTGAGATCAAAATACAAAAGAAGTTTGTGCTCAATTAACTCAGAAAGATAGAGAGGAGAGGAGTCTTGCCTTTCCCAGTAGGTTCAAGCAAAAGCAAACAGCTGCAGATTCTCCTAGCTTGTCTGTTCGTCCTCATTAATAACTTTTGCCATTGTGACCATACTCTGATGTTGCCTGATCACATATGTCCTAGTTTTCATCTGTGAAATGTTGGAGGTTATACGTTATTTATCCTGAGCACAAACAAATACGCATATTTTTAAAGGAAAAACAAGAGCATCCTGATAGAGTCATAAAATGCAACAAAAGTACACTTGTCCTTCCACATTTGTGGCTTTGACTTTTGCGCATTTTATTATTTGTGGATTTGATTGATATGCTCTCTCTAGGAATCTCAGGTCCTCTAGAGAAATTCTGCTGGAAGTTGACCATAGAGTTATACTGGAGGACCTAAAGATTCCTAGAGAAAACACTTCTCTAGGCATTTGTAGATCCTGAAACATGATTCTATGGTCAAATTCTGGCAGATGTTTAGAAATTCCTAAAGAAGTGTTCTCTCTGGTTAAAAAAGTACCTACTGTTTATTTGCGTTTTTCCCCACACTTTCACAAGGATCCTATGCCAGTGAATGTGGAGGGACAAATGTAGAATTCTGCCTCTGATGGATTTTCCAAAGTTGCATAAGATGGTGTTTCATTTGTGAAATATGTCTCAAATGCCAAGAAGTTTTGCAGTAGGACAACTGCAAGAAACAAGATTATGAGGAGGCTACTGGAATTAGATCAACATAGCTTTAACCATTATGGCTGAGCAATTAGTTGTCCATGAACTTAATTAATTGGAGAGCCATAGATGTTTTGTTTATACCAAATATTTTCTGTTATCTCCTAGTACGATTAGAGACATTTTATACCAGCTCCCCAGGTTGTTTTATTTTAACCCAGTATACAATCAGAAAGAACAGGAACAAAATCTGAGACTTTCTATCAGTATGGATATGCCCTTAGTCATCTTTGAGCTGAGGAATTTGCATCTCACACAACTATGATTCTTAGCCACTAATTTTTTACTGGCTGAGAGACATATGGGATGCAAAGTATTTGCGTCAGATCTGACTTCTGCAATAAACTGGCTCCACATGAGGCAGCCTCCTAATCTGTCTGTGCCCCCTCCCATACAGGCAATATAGTGGGAACACTGAATTGTCTGTCTAGTAATATGTTTGGATTAGTACTCTAAAAGATCTACTGTATTTCAAAAGTTAAGTATCGTTTAAGTCAATAAGAGGAAAATAGTCAACCTTATTGGATGATTGTGCACCCAGGAATAGCATCATCACATGCATTGCATTGCTTTGTAAGTCCTGCATTGCATTGTTTGTAAGTCCCCTGATAATGTAATGTAAAGCACAGTGGGTCCTTGTTATCCGCTCGGGTTTGGTTCCAGGACCAGCCGTGGATAACAAAATCCATGGATACTCAAGTCCCATTAAAAACAATGGCATAACAAAATGGTGTCCCTTATATAAAATGGGGGGGGGGAATCAAAGTTTGCTATTTGAAATTTATACTTTCTTTTTGGAATATTTTCAAGCCATGGGTACTTGAATCCCTGGATAAGGAGGAATGACTTTATATATCTTAATACCCAGAGATCTGCACTATGACTTCCAGAATCCCCCAGTCAACATGGTCAGTGGCCATGCTACCTGGGGAGGGTGGGTTCTGAGAGCTATAGTCCCAAACAGTGATTCCCCCCCCAGTTATATTAATAACAACATAAAAATCACTTTTTCCTTCTGAATCCATTGGGCTAGAAGATCTTGGTTTCCTCCTGGGCTCATACACTGACCTTTCATCCTTGCTGGTTTTGGTGCAGTGGCCACAGCTTCTCTCTCCTTCCATCTCCTGATCTGCTCCTGCCTCATCTTGAAGAACAAGATCTGCTTCTGCTCTTCACTGAGCTCTGCCAGCAGCTCTGGATCCACATACATGTCCGACAAGATCTGCTTCAGCATGGCTGCGGATGAGGCTTCTCGCAGTAGTAGTCAAGAAGAAGAAGACTTGTGCCAGGAGGAGGAGGAGGAGGAGGAAGAAGCCAAAGAAGAAGAAAAAGAAGGATGAACTGGGGAAAGAAGAGGCGGGCAAGGGCAAATCACTTTCTCTGTGCTACCTCTTTAGCAAGATGCACATCAGTGTCCAAAGATGAGACAAAAATCTATCGCCACCTGAGAGACACAGCAGGAATGCAGGCTCTCCACATGGCAATTACACTCCCAGTGACTGCACCTACTTTTAGCTCTTAGACTTCCTGCAAAGACTGACAATGTAAACAAAGAGCACAGAGAAAAACAAAGCAACAGAGGACTTGGCTGCACTTATCCCAAAACTGAGTTGTCATATCCTTTGTGTCCTGGATTAAGCAGAGCTTTTATTCATGTTTTTGAAAATAAAACAGCAACAATGAAGACAGGAGAAGAAGGGTGTTCAGATCAGGTCAGATACAGTGCGGAAGTGCTCTCGGCTTACAAGCCCTCTCTGCTCAAAGTCACAGGTGTGGCTTACCTCTCTGACTCAGCCAAGGATGCTGTTATGAGACCAGGAAGTGAAGAGATCATTTCTAAAGAGGCAAACCCTAACCCTTTCCCTTCTCTCAGATCTTAAGAAAATAAAGATCTGGCCAGTGGCAAACACCATAGGAGGAAAAAAGTGAGAGGGCCAATTTCAGTTAACACCTATGGGGAGAAGTGAGATGTTCTTTATTTTCTCCAGGAACACAAACACACATGGCAGGTCCCAACATTTTGTGACTAATGGAATAATGCAGAAAACAGCAGAACCAGGAGGAAAGGGGTTTTGATCAGGTTAAGAGTGTGATGGAAAGGTTAAACTTCCTGCTTCCCCAAAGCTGCTATTTACACATTTAAATGTGTGTGTTAATTGAATTAAAGCAATTCATGTTGCATCTAGTTTGTCCTCAGAACAAAAGGTGGCACAGGAATTTGCTGTTGTTGTGTGCCTTTGAGTCTTTTCTGATTTATGGCAATTCTAAGGTGACCCTACCATGGGTTTTTCTTGGCAAGATTTATTCACAGGGGGTTTGCCATTGCCTTCCTCTGAGGCTGAGAGCGTGTGACTTGCCCAAGGTCACCCAGTGGGTTTCCGTGGCCAAGCAGGGATTTGAACCCCGGTCTCCAGAGTCATAGTCAAACATTCAAAACACTACGCCATGCTCACTCTCAGCTCAGGAATAAGGAGCTTTATTTATTTGTTGTATTTATACCTGCTCTTTAGAAATGTTCTCAGAACAGCTTACAAATTATTAATTTGACAGTTCCTTGCCCTCAGGCTTACAATCTAATAAGACATGACACAAAAGGAGTAGGGAATGGCAGTGCGGACTGTTAACTCTAATTAAGAAAGCAAGATGACATGTTTGTCTTTTGGAACAATGAATGGAACTACTATATATACTCAAGTATATGTCGACCTCCTGTATAAGTCAAAGACAGGTTATTGGGGCCAAAATCATGGATTTTGATGGGACTTGTGGATATGTCGAGGGTAAAACTTAGGGGCATATAACAAAGGATGTAAAGGACAATGCAAAGGAAACTATGCCAAAGAACTTACCAAATGCTGGCAGCCATAAATGTTTGTGCTTGCCCTAGCTGGATGGATGGGAAGGAAACTACCCACTGCCATTTTCCCACCCAGGCATTCAAAAGCCCAAAAGTAGTGCCATGATGGAGAGAATAGAGGGGCCAGTGTTTCTTTTAGGTTCTCCCAGGACAGGCTAAGCTCTCCCTTTTTGCCACTCTGCTCAAAGAAGGGGATGGATCCTTTTTTGATAAGAGTTAATGCACAGTACTTACACTGACCCATGGATAAGTAGACCCAGTTTAAAATTTCTAGACCTATACACAAGTATATACAGTACATCTTTCTAATGTTTTATATTACAACTTGGAGTTACAACAGCGGTCAGCAACCTATAGCCCGTGGGCCAGACCCGGCCCGCCGAGGCCTTGGACCTGGTCCATGGCCGCTCCTGTTGCCACTGCCGCCGCTGTGCTGCTGCGCAGGCGCGGGCGCCATTTTGGTGTCCAAAATGGCACCCGTGCTCGCGCATGCATGCGCACAATGGTAGGCACCATTTTGGAATGCCCAATGACGCCGTCGTCATGCGCATTCGCATGGTGCCATCGACGTTGGGCGTTCCAAAATGGTGCCTGCCGTTGTGCGCATGCGCACCTGACGCAGGGCACCATTTTGGTTTCCAAAATGACGCTCCTATACTCGCATGCATGCGCACGATGGTGGGAGTTATGTGCATGTGCACACGCGCCCCCTGAGCCATTTCCCCCCCGCCCGCCGGCAAAAAAAGTTGCCGACCCCTGAGTTACAATATTAAACTTACTTATGTGTGTCTGTGTGTCTGTTTGTGTGTACATGTTTGTGTGTGTTAGGCTATTAATTGGCACCAACATCCCACACAAGGCACAAATGGGAAGGACACACATTTCATTTTAAGCCATTAATTCTAAAATTTTGCAGGTCTAGAAACGCTCCTACCAGGCATAAACAAGAAAACCATCTCTACCGACTAAGGAAGGGAATACAAGATCATCAACACTTTCACATCAGGAAGAAACACACTCCACTCCCACTCTAGGAAAGAGGTATAACTAAACACTTTTCAAATGAATAACTTTATAGTGAGATATGTCATCATATAGACATGTTAAATATATTGTCTAAGTGCTAATGCAGTAAAACATCTCCACACACATAAGTGGAAATTATCAGTAGATGTGGGTGGATTTCAAGATTCAGAAAAAATCATGGGGCAAATAAGGGGGCAAACTCCCAACAAAAATCAACAACAGACCCATGATGATTCAAAGACTGCCCCCCCCCCAAAAAAAAAGAAAGGAAAGGAAAGGAAAAGGAATGGGTTGCATTATCTTGAAAAACAGCCAGTGCTATGTACCAGTTTGAGTGGTGAATAGGCCTCTGGGAGACCAGAGTTCAAATCCTCACTCAGCCATGGAAATTTACTGTGTCACTTTGAGCAAGTCACTTTCTCTCACCTTTGGAAGAAGATAATGGCAAACTCCTATGGATAAGAAGAAAAGTCCTAGGATAGGTTCATAGGAACTGACCTGAAGGCACACAACAGCAGCACTGAAAGAAGGCATGGCTGTCAGGCTGGACAGTGACAGAACACTGAGCAAAAGCAATCCACACTAGAACATTTCATGGCGGCTCTACTTGTATCATTCAGTTGGTCCTCCATATCCATGGATTGTTCATCCATGGAGTCAATCATCCGTGGCTTGAAAATATTCTAAGACTATATACATTCCAAAAATCAAACCTTGATTTGCCATTTTGTATCAGGGATACAATTGTATATGCCACTTTATTCAATGAGACTTGAGCATCCATGGATTTTGGTATCCACAGGAGATCCTGAAACCAAAGCCCAGCAGATACCAAGGGCCCACTGTAGAATGAAAAGTTAAATGTACAGTTGGCCCTCCGTTTTCACAGGGGATCCATTCTGGACACACACACCTGCAAAAATGGAGACTCACCAATATTCAAGCCCCATGGGCTTGAATGGCACGTGTGCCATTGATTTCAATGGAGGTCGCGCCTCTGTGAATATGCAAAACCATGGACTTCAAGTTCATGAAAATGGAGGGATAATTGTAAATTGTTTCCCACCAGTCTAAATGGCTTTTTAGCTTAGACAAGTTCATTAAGGCTGTATCTGTCACTTACTAAATGGAGGTTCCACACTGAGAGGTGGAAAGACCAGATACTGGTAAAACAGTAAGACATCATTGAGTATCAAACACTTGGGACAACCATGGAAATGTTATGCCTCCCTGCACTCCTCATAAGCATCCTGGAAGCCTTTGGCTGTCTACTGATGGAAACAGAAGGTTGCAGTAGACATATTGTTGGCCTTACCTAGTAAGGCAGATCTTATTCATCACAAAAATGGCAAATGGCAAACATGTATTATATACATTCCAATCAGAGATGCCACTTCCATAACAATCAAAACAAAATAGTTTGAAGTAGCCAGACAATTCCAAACATCCCACTCACACCAGATCAAATATCAGGCTGCTCCACTTTTCTTCCATATGCGGGTCACAATTGCTCTGCAGAGGGGCGGGATATAAATTATTATTATTATTATTATTATTATTATTATTATTATTACTACTACTACTACTACTATATTACTACTACTTAGGCCAGTGCATAGAAACTTAATTAGGAGCATAAATACTACTATCCTCAGGGTCTTGCAACATATTTCTCTTGTTTAAGAGACTGACTTTAAGACTGATTCATATGCTCCAGTGGCAATGGTTACGCAATTACTTCTGCTACACTCCTCACTACTTTCTTTGTGGATCATGAAATCTCTCACCTGAACAATCTACGCTTCTGGTTTTTGATTCTGTTCCTTCCTGAAAATATTCGCCAGGAGAAAGGGGTTAGGTGTCTTCTAAAAAAACAGCAAAAGCCCCACCATTCTTACTAGGAGCACTGACATTTAATGAAAGCCTTAAAGTCTATTTTAAGAGGATAACTGTTTGCAAATGTTAACCAGCAGCTACTATGTGTTAACTATAAAAACTCAACACCTGCTTTATTATGCAATAGGTTATCCTGCCTTCCCCATCCAGCTACTCTTTGGAGAGTGCTTGACTACAAGTCCCATTGGTCCTGTTGGGTTAGAAGTATGGGACTTGTAGTCCAGAACAGCTGGAAGGCACCAGTTTCAGGAAGAGTATATAGTTCTATGCAGTTGAAATCTAAGAAGGAAATGCTGCATATAAGCAAAGGTCCAGGGTTTCATGTGTTTGACTCACCTTTCCCTGTGATGCAGAAATGTGGCAATTTAGCTTTAACCTGCAGAAGGAGGAACATGTACTTCTTAAAAAACACAGAGTTAATTATACACTATTTCTGTAAAAAAATGTGTGGCTAAAGATAGGGTAGCTGTTTAGCTGTTTTTATGAACACAAATGAACGATTCATTGTGACTGAAGTTTTTTTCTCCTAATTGAAAAGCAGCGGCTACAATTACGTTCACAATGATCTCTGGGAGGGACATTCTGGGAATCTGTTTTAGAGATCTTTGAGAAAGATCTTTGAGAAAACAACTCTGAGGAAAAGTGGAAGAAATACTACTACTGCTAATTATTATTATTATTATTATTATTATTATTATTATTATTATTTATATCCCACCCCTTTGCTGAGCAAGTAAGCCTGCATTTGGCTATTTTACAAGTCATTGTTGTTGTGTGCCTTCAAGTCATTTCCAACTTACAGAGATTCTATCATGGGGTTTTCTTGGCATGTTTCTTCAGAGGGGGTTTGCCATTGCCATCCTCTGAGGCTGAGAGAGTGTGACTTGCCCAAAGTCACCCGGCTGAGCTTGGATTCAAGCCCTGGTCTCCCAGCATCCTAGTCCAAAGCTCAAACCACTACACCACACTGAGTTTTTACCTGTATGCAAAAAAAAAAAATAGATTTGAAATGGAGCACTGTGGACCCTTTCATACTTAACAATCAATAGTGTTCTGTTTCTGCTTTAACTGGATGGCTGAATCCTATAGAATCATTAGAGGAGCCCTCTGGCTGAATATTCTAAACCCTCTAAAATACAAATCCCAGGATTCCATAGGATGTTGCCATGACAGGTAATGTTGGATTATACCTCTATAAATTATGCATGTAGAAATTATGTGTTTCTACCAGTATGCTACCATCTTATTCCAGTATTATATCTTCCTGGAAATTCAGGTCACTCTCTGACATTCTTTGCTAAGGTATGCATGTGTTTGTATAAAACTGTGTCTTACAAATTATTTTTGGCCTAAAGTTTCCAGAATGCCCTAGGGAGCATAGTCATTGGCCATGCTGGGTGTGTGGCTTCTGGGAGGAGTAGTTCAAGCCTTTTTCCAAGCACTGATCTCGTATGCATGTTTCCAAGAAAGGTATGTGCATCCCAACATCCCCCAATCAAGACTCAAAGGAATATGTGGCATAGTGGCTTGGGTGTTGGATTACCACTCTGGAGACCAGGATTCGGTTCCCCACTGGGACATGAAATCCACTGGGTGACCTTGGCCAAGTCACACTCTTTTAGCCTCAGGGGAAGGCAATGGTAAACCTCCTCTGAACAAATCTTGCTAAGAAAA